ATATTTCAACTTCGAACTTTTGTTTCTCAAATAAATAATAGTTATTTTAACATATTATTTTACTTTTATGATTGATACTTTGTCAAAATGTTTCAAAAAATATCGATATTGAATTTATTACCAAGAAATAAAAAAAATGGTTGAATAACCATATGAACAGTAATAGTTATTATCAGTCGAAACCAGTTTGTATTTTTTTTATTAACATAATATTATCAACGCTAGGTTTTTTTTTTAAACTTGCACCATGTTATATTAGTTTTTGTTTCAAGGAGTTTTACAAAACTAGAAAATTATTTATGTTTTTATGCCTTTAAAAAATGTTAAGTTTTTTTTTTCAATACTAGGTAAATATTTTGATGTTTGTGAAGAAGAAAAAACGATAACCGTAGTACGATTTGTTTGATATAATGTATGTTTTATGATACTTTTCCGGGATTAAAAGTCACTGTTGACCCTGCACTATAAACCTAAAGGTAAGCGGATGGTTTTTTTTTTAAGTGCGTTTCCGGGCTTTAACGTTATGATCTACGACACTCTTAAACTCTGGCGGTCGACCGTAACCGTTTATCTTCGACCGGCGACACTTGGGAGAACCGTTTAACTATGGGTACCACAATATTATCTCTATACGGATCATCAACGGAAACCGTATATTATTATTATCATAAACCTAACCCGATATTTTCATAAATAAAATAATAATATAACAAAACAATATGCGTATTGTGATAATAATATATCGTTTCAATAATGTAAATAATTGTAATGGACGTGACGAACGTCGGTTGTTGTTAACGTCCGGCCGAAGGGTATTGCCGTTTTTTATGTGCAACCCTTCCCCTCCCCCTGGAATTTCTCCCGGCACATATGTTTTGTTTTTCATATACTTATATAATATACGCACACTTTGTGTACATGCATATTATAATAATAATATATTACCACGGCCCGAGTACGTCGGCTGTCGAAATATTTATGGTTTTATTTTTTATTTTTAGCGGTCGGCCGTTATTTTCTCTGCCGGCATTCGCCGACACCTAGTCCCGGGGCGCGAGGGGAAGGCGATTTTATATTATTATTACTACCACCCCTTTGGCGAAACTCGGCCGGACAAAACGACTATCAATAACCGAGGAAAATGTTTGTCGGGGGACCGCGTGTCGACGTGGACGTGGAATTAATGGAAATTATTGTACTAGACTGGCAGTGTATAATACCTATGTATGTATAGGCCTTGTACGGCACCGCGGTACGACAACACTCCCACAGTGAGGTAAAAGCCGTGCTTCCGTTTAATATCCCAATTCACTTTTAGGGCACGCCGTATATTCCCATCGAGACTGTCCGACCGTATACAGCTATGTTGCATTAAATCGAACAAATTCAATCGAAACATAAATGCACAATTTAACGTTGCTATGTTTTTTTACCCGAAGGGGTTCTGTCTAAAATGTGCGTTGAGTTCATGGAATCTGTCATGGCGAAATTGCACGTAGTGACATAGTTGATGCTCTATCTAACTATGTTACTCACTCACTAGATTTATTTATTTTGAAATTGTGTACAGTGTTTCATAACACAATAAACAAGTAAACATTTTAAGTATAACACTACTGACACTATACTTTAGTGAATTTGCTCGTTTATTCAATTTACTTATTCGTATCCTCGATTCTTGTACTCGTTTACTTGGTTTATTAAATAATTAACTCAATTTAAATGATAAATAATTACCAACAATATAATGTAAGTATGAAATATTTATTATAATATCATAATGTATCGTATACTATCATAATAATCCTGCTACTCATTTACTAAATTAATTTACTCTATTCGTTAACTAGTTTACTCTAATAATTTACTAATTTACTAAATTTATTAAACCGTATACTCAAATTTAATTCAGTTGTATTATTCATTTTTAATATATATGCCATATCGGCTTAAGTACAGTAATAAGATAATTAAAATATTACAACAGTTGATGTACAGTGAACATTTCGTGAGATATTTTTCACATAAGTAAATGTCCATACTATTGATCCGTATTCTAAAGAATAGAAAAGAATATTTGAACGACGTACCTACCAAAGATGAAGCAAATCTTATTAGAGTTCCAAGAGCTCTTGTTGCTTTTAAACAAATTCGATCGAGCATTAGATTATATAGGATATTTTTTTCGTTCAACAAAATGAAATTTCTTAACATTTTGACTCAATTTATTACCTTTACACCGTTTCAGAAATCTATTTAAATCACTTTGAAGAGCAGAGCAATACATTGTATTACAAATTGTACGATACATTTTCAGGTCGTCTGCAAAAAGTTTGCACTGATAAAATTTAAAAGATGAACCTATATATATTATACTTCTGTTCAACGCGATGGAAATAAATGTTAATGTATACAATATACATAGATAAATTGTTTGTTGAGAAATATGTACATATTATACGTTAATATATTTATAGATTAACAATATGATAATGTATTGTATGGTAATGTTATTTTATCATATTAATCATTTTACTCGTTTACTCGATTTCATTGTATTTCAGTTTTTCGTGATGTTGATAAGCCATTAACTACAACCAAATGTTTACTAATATCATAATGAATGTTAATTGCATGGTAACAATCATGGTAGTACATATTTTAATCTTGGTGATTGTACAGATGCTAAACACTGAAAACGTATTCAACGTTTTTCTGTGGAGCCGAAAAAAGGTGTATTTTTCTTCTTTTCTTTTTCCCATCGCCGTCTCATCCTCTCTGCCAAGGAAACGTAGCAAACAGTATATTTGCTAAAAGGGAGAACATGCAGTATTATTAGTAGGGAGATTTTCGCGTGACTTACTCTACACACGAGTCAGCTGCACGAATCATCCATTACACGACAGAATACACACAAATTAATAGAGTATCATATTATCTCATATATTATTATTATTATTACACAGTACATATTGATATATTATGCGTTCGAGTGTGCCGAAAATCACCGCTGAACATTGAAAGCTACTGTTTACCGTGACTTCATCAATAATATTAACATGTTACATACTATAGATATACACGCTGAGATGTGGAATTTGTACTAATAACACTATGTGATGGTTTAAGTTACAGTGCGATGTATGATTTTGGCAGCCATTATCGATTCGTGCAACCGTCCGCGTTAGCTTAGCGATTCGGTTTGTGTGGCCAAATCGCATGTATTTAGTGTATAAATGCTAACACATTTGGGTGCTTTTATAGTAAGCGCCGAGTCATCATCGAATTGATTATTTATGTACTTTGAGAGATTCTGAAAGTCAATACGCCGTAGGTAGGTACCGTGGTTAGCAAAGTAAACCGTACGCCATTTACATTTGCCCTGATCAAAAATAATATAATATTGTTGTAGATATACATTTAATAATACTACCAAAAAAAAAAATATATATATATATATATATTAATAACCGAAACCGAAAAATGGCAAAAATGTTTTGCGTCCTATTCTATTGTAATATCTAGTTTTACCATCCATTTAACGTAAAACACTCTGTTCCTTGGAAATTTAAAAAGAAATACTACAAAGCTGTAATTATTATTATGATAAGAAAAAATGAGTGACTTATCCTTAATGATCCACATTAGACGATATCTGAATTTTGTCATTTTTTGTAAATTCCAGAGCTTTTTCAATTTTTGAGAATTTTAATAGTATTGTGTACATTATTATATAAAACTAATTTATTACAAATTTCGACTGGTCAACATTTTGAACAAATGATTCTCATCATAAAAATGGAAATAAATAAAAACTTTAGGTGTCGTTTAAAATAATATTTCAAAAGTCGAAAATAGTGAAACATATTCGGTAGGTAGTTGTGTTAATAGCGTAAAAAGGAAAAGCTAAAAAAATTGTAATTATTTTTAAAAAAAATTTAGTGTTCTACGTTAAATTGATCACGTACAAAAAAACCAATTTAACATGAAATTTTCACAAATTTTACAAAATATGCATGTGTCATTTTATGTCATTTTTACACTGCACAATCACTTTTTTTTTAAATTTTTTTACAAAAAAAAACAAATTGTCACATACAATGTTCTTCAGGTGTATCCAAGTCATTTAAACATGGAGCATCGAGTATTTCACAACTCTATAGAGATAACTAGACTAGATTTCAGAATGAAAATAATTTATTTTAAAAACTAATTTTTGTCGTCAATTATTTACCCATGCAGCACAATAATTAAGTTGAAACAGGAAAATTGCCGGTATTTTAAACGGAAAACATTTCCTCGTTACAGCGAATGGTTTGGATAGAAATTTCAAAATAGGCTAACATTTTTTTTTTTTTTTGAATCGAAAAGGGGTGGCCTAATTGAAATTTAGAAATCTTGCAAATAAGAGCCACCCTAATATAAACATTATATTATTATCCTACATATTATTTAATATTGATTATACATAAGTGTATACACTTTTTAAACATGAATACTTCTGGTATTGATCTCGGTGGAGTTTTATACAGCGTTTAACACGCATTTCACGTATCACCAAATTTGTCTACTGGATTAATACGGTACAACCCCTGTGCCCCCCCTTCACCAGCGTATCGTTCGGTACTTATGCAAAATTAAATCCAAAACGAACCCGGTGACCGATACACGCCCTATGTCGTTGTACACAAGTTTTTATGAGAGGAGGGGGGTTTTTTTTTTGCTGCTGTCCCTCTCCTGCTCACATTCACAAACCGTACAGTAAGTATTACTTCTAGTTCGTTAAAGCCCCGTGTCCAACGAACTGTGTGCTGTTTGTTTTAGTTTTCGGTTTGTGACTGCCCTTCGGACGTCCGTAGTATACCTAACAATCGTAAAAACAAATTCCGGAGGCAAAACCAAAATAACCACTAGAAACCCTATCGAATATAATATAAAATTATGTATGACCTTGGAAGACGTTCTAAAGGTTTAAAATATTATTATTGTTGTGTTTGCAGGATGGGCTATTGGTAACGACGAACGCAACTGGAAGTATCGGCTATCGATTTACTATGTAAAAAACTTTGACACCGGCACGTATACTTGTACGACCTCACGGGGAATCAACAATTCCATTTCCCTTCGGGTGTCGGGTAAGTATAGAACCACAGACTATATGATGAAAACAGGTAGGTCACTCCGAGTGACGTCACATGGCTCAAAATGAAATCAGTGTGGCCGCACTGATTCAAGCATAACATATCATAATAATGTCACTGATTAGATAAAAAAAAAATTATCTAATCTGACAATAATATTGTAAAATGTCTGCACAATCATTTATGCTAGTTCACGCGACTACACCGATATCTTCCACAATCAGTGTTTTAAAAAATTTCCTTTGTTTTCGGCCGAATGGGCTATCCGTTTTCATATAGGCTGCGGTAGAATTATATTATATAATATTTTATAAACGGTTTAAGGTATAGAGCAAATCACAATTATTGTTTGGAGAAATACATTTTAGTAGTTTGACAAATTTTATTGGACAACCATTATTGTTTTGTAATAGAATCTCTGGAAGCTAATGTATATTATGAGAAAAATTTAATTTATCAAAACAAATAAGACTTGGCACGTAAGACTCGGCATGATTGTTGTAAGCACTTGATGTTATTGTCGGATTTCGACTATGAAATGGTGTTCGAACTAAATTACCTAAGCTCAATATACTGTTGTATGTGGGCTGGTTCTCTTCTGATACCAATGCCATTTTTGATGATGTACTAAAATTTTGAAAAAATAAACTTCCTGAATTTTTTTTAAATATTATCAAACAATAATAGTTTAAAGTTATTGTATTTTTTCAGTCAGAAGTTAGACTTTATTAATTTAACGGATTATTTAAATTTATTGCTGTAATTGATTGGATCACTAAACATCTAAATGTATATTGATTCATTTAACCGTCCATATGGTCAATTCGTATTGAGTATATAACTATTGATTTGAACAGTCCATAAGAAAGTCTTATCTGTTTAATCAAGCATAAATTAGACGGTATTTATCAAAAGGGAACCAATACACATACAAATTGATAGGAGTAAATTGAGGTCCAAGTTGAATCGTAACCATACATATTGAAATGCCTTCAAATAATAAGTTTTGTCTCTTTTTTTTACAAATTTAATTTTAATTTTGCATAGTTTCCAACAAAAAATAATATACTTTAGCTATAACCCTATTTAAAACTACACCAAATAATTTTTCATAATTTTGTAGACTGACTCCCTTAGTTCTCTATGCCAAATGCCTTGCAATAATTTTGAAAATAGGCCACACAGCATAACGTATAATTTGATTTAATCGCCGTTCGATCACCACCTGATTGCTGAAACAATCATGCAGCCTTATTAATTTTAATAAATTAAATTAAATTTTGGTTTACTCATTAATGTTAATACGCCATACATAAATGATGCACCTAATATAACAATTAATTCTGCACAAAAAAAATTATGAAAAATATTTAATTAGGCGTTTTATGTTATTACAAAAAAAGTTCTGATTGTCGCCTAATTCTTTATGTTATAAATAGTATAAACTATGAGCATAACATATCTGTAGACTTATATGTTTATTATAATACAGCATATTGAATGAGTTGGAGTGTTTTTTTATTACTTTGTGTTGCTATTCAAAGGAGTTCCATTTTTTTTTTAATAAAGTTTGACGCATTTATCACTCGCCATCTCGACGACAAGAGAAAGGTTCAAAGAATAAAATTGTTGTTTTCGCACAACTTGCTTGTCATAGTCTATAAGAAATAGGACATTTTACTAACCAACAAAAATCGTGCTATTTTTTTTCATCAACCATTGTTTCTTTTTTTAATGTTACTTTATAGCGGCGACTGTACATTTAAGTAAAATATAATATAATATTTTTTAATTGCAAAATGTCTGATAATAAACACCCGGAAGTATCTAAAGTTAAAACTCGTATTTGTATTTATTTTTTATATGTACTTTATAAATTAAATACATTGTTTGCTTGTTGAATACTTTCCAAAAGAGATAATAAAAACCGCAAGTAACACTTTGATATATTATACTATTTCACCTGGAAAAATAAACAACGAGTTCGGCAAACAAAATACATTTTCACTATTAATTATTATTATTCGTGCAAAAGAACATTAATTAAAATATATAAATTGCGACATTTACAAATATATTTTGGGTGTAATACAAAGAAAACCGCAACTAATTAAAAACGTTGGAAGTTGGGGACACGTTTTATTGAACTAAACAAAACGATACAAATAGTAATGACTTAATGTTTATTATTTACCACTTAAAAAAAAAACCGGAGACAATCGATAATAACAAAAAACTACTTTATCAAACCTATAAGTACAATTAAAACATAAAAAAACACTTTAAAATATTAATACAAATCTATCGATTTTTAAACACTTATAAGATTTTTGAAATTTATCTGCTTAGCACTCTGCCAGTAAACGTTATAACCGATTCATTAATTATTTGTTGGCAGACATTCATTGTAAGCCCATACCGAGCATGGACTTAAGTCCACATCTCAACTATAGGGCCAGCGGACACAGGCTCGGTCAAACGACTTACTTCAACTGCCCGCCCGGGTTTCTACTAAAAGGATCCGCAAACATTACATGTCTACCATCAGGTAAGTTTAAAAATAAAATTCAAAACGTTACCAAGGAAGTTATATTATGCACTTCCTGAGTGGGTTTAAGTGATGTTTGTATCGTTAAGCGGAAGCGAACCCGGTTACGCGATCGAAACGTGTAAAAACACGGGTTTTTAGTAAGTTTAAAGAAACTAATTTAATATATCCACAAGAGAGTTTCAAAGAAGATATTAAAAGAAAATAATTAAGCCAGTAACAACCAAGAGCCTTAATCAAGAAAAACATCAAAAGCAAACTTTTCAAAAGCAACTAAATTGTAAACTGTTACAATCAATCGAATTGCGTTTCCCTTTAAATAATCTTCAAAAGTCAAAAAAGAAATTATTATCCTGTGGCAATATTGTATTAGCATTTTAATTCGAAAAAAATATATTAAATGCCCGAATAAGAGCATATTCCCATACAACTTTACATTCAGTACAACAGTTTTGGTTAAATTTATATAAAATCAAACTAATAATCGTTTTTATCTCGAATAAAATAATAATTTTTTTTTAGATTTTAAACATTAAAAAATGTGAAACATAATAAAAAACACACATAAAAAGTTACATTAAATTAAACGTGATTGGAGTTAAAGGTAAAATCACATTAAAAATTGACGTTATTTTTGTATGAAAAATAACAATGCAAATACTTTATTCAAGTAAAATGTTAAACTGGTATTAAAAAAAATAATTATTTATATAATCCGTACGGTCATATAATGTAATGGCGGTTCACATAAAATTTAATAAACTTTGTACGGCCAAGACGTTTTTTTTATTCTTCTAAAACCAATTCATTATTTAACAGCGTTAAATAACAACAATTCTACAAATGCAACTTTGTAGCTTTTCTTTTAGGAAATATTTTTATTTATGTAATTTTAAAGTAGTATAGAATTACTAAATTTTTATATTTTTTAGTATTATAAAGATAATTTATTTTTAAATCAATTTCAGTTTGAATTTGTACATTTATAGGTATCTACAAGATTATCAGACTTTCATGTTACACCTACTTTTTCGATGTTACTAAATTTTAATGTAATTATCCAAAATTGATTATAGATGAGTCCAATTTTTTAAGTAAATAATTCTTAATTTATAAAAGTAAAATTAATGTATACCTTACCATATGGGTTTTAAAAGTTAATAGAGATTTGGGCAAAATTAAAAAGTTATATATCGTAATATTATATAAAAAAAAACAAAAACCGATGTTTTCCAAAAAGATAAATTACAAAATTGCAATTACTATTATAAGAGAAAAAACGATTGTCATAAATTAAATTGATCACTCAGAATGTGTTTTACGGAGATGTTTTTGAAATTGACGGACAACATTTATTATTGTTTGATGAGCTCAAAAACGATTGTTTGACTAAACACCATCACGGCTGTTGCTGGCGTTGTTCTCTTGTACATTTTCGAGATGGTATAATATTAAAAATGATTACCGTTATTTATTGTTTTTTTCTCGAAAGTACCATTCTGGGGAAATCCACGATTTATGTTTTTACTCGTCCTTTTCGCCGCAAAACCCTTTTGTGTAAAGCGCGCGTTAAGTTTAAAACGAGCTCTGGACCCCAAAAATGATACAAACCTTTTTTTTTTGTATTGTTATCATTATTAATTGAAACCGATTAGAGCCAGTCCGTCGGAACCACGTGGTACGAAAAAAATGTATAGATCTTCCTCCCCAACCTCCAAACATTATAATGAGGGTAATTATTATTATTAAAGTAGAGCAGGACATCCGGTGGATAAGCGTCTGTCTACGAGACTGAATGTACGAAAGGAAAAAAAATATATACGAGGAAAAAACTGGCCGTTTCTAATTAAAATCGGTTTTATCTTACACGCGCCATATCAGTTATCTACCTGAGTAATCTGGCAGCTGGTCTAAGAAGTAACGATAAGATCGCGTGTACGGCGTAGGAATTGTTTAATTAAAAACAATTAATGGACTTCTGGGTGACATTATAGTGAAATATATTATTATAATACCATCAACAAACGTGTCCTGGCAGCCTCGAAAAAACTTATTTTATTTTTTATTTCAAGAAACAACGTGTTGACGTTCAGCAAAAAAATAATAAAATCCTTTCTCTTCTGTGTTTTCATTATAATCCAGTGTTGTTTTTTTTTATCTCAGGATAACGCTAAAACAAAAACAACGTCTAGTTAATTCAAACCATTTTTTTGTTGTATAAACTTAAATACAACAACGGCAATCTGTTGTTTTGCATAAAGCAAAGAGTACGTTTTATATATATATATATATATATATATATATATAATTTTATGTTAAATATTGTGTAATTAGCGATAACAGTTTAGTTCCTAATTAAATAGCTTAAAAATAAACAACAGCGTTGAACCCTTGGTGTGTAAATACGGTACGAACAGGGGGAAAATGTTTTATTTATTGATTAAAAACCCAATTGGGTAATGTAATTTAACTGAATAATACTTAAATTACAAACTGTGTTTCATTTGTACGGTACATTAGAATTCCACGACTAAAACAACACATCCTCGCCGTATAATTAATCCGATGAACTGAGTATATTTTGGCGAGAACAATAATATTATGTTGTTTGTAATGGAAATAAACTTGATACGTTAATGCTCACAGCAGATACCCATATTGTCTTACAACTTTACAAGTTGTACAATTAGTTGCTGTACTCCGTTGACTGGAAAATAATTAAGTACAATTAATACATTTCTGTATACTTAGAAAATTATGCAAAATAAATTGTTCGATTCCAATAATGATTTCACTGGATCTTTTGTAATATTTCTAAAATTATTCTATTATAATAATATAATAACTGATGAGGTTAAATAAATGTCAAGAAAGACAATGGATAAGCTAGTTATTAGTTGATTGGCTAGATAAATTATTTATCAATAATTAACAGGGGTTTCTAACCAAATCACGTTAGTATTTAATTTGAGTACAATAATTATATTCATCTTCAGAGCTGTGTGGCGTGCTGGTGTTCGCTCCGTTGCTGCCTGTAGACTGAAGCGATCGCCTCCGTGGTCCGTTTCTTTTCTTGCTGCCACCTTTCTGTTTGTCGTTCACTCTTGCCACAGTGCCTTCTTCTGTCCTGTTACCCCTCTTACGCGAGGTATAACTATTGTGTCTTTGGTACCATCTTCTTCGCGATGGCCATCGGCGACAATTTGTTGATCGAGTTTTCTTTGTGATCTTACTAACGCGTTGTCTACTGCTAATATGCTATTTCCGTTTTAGCATAGTGTTTGGTTTAGGTGTTGTTTTACTTTTTCCGTATGTTCTTCGTCCGTTGTACTTACCGGGCGCATGGTTAGGGTGTGAAGAATTCCAGTTTTTTTATTTGGACAATGGTACGACTGAACGTTTAGATATAATATATTATGTTGACAACAAACGGTTATATACAGAAGACCATCCACCCTAATAATTGTATCCACCTTAATTATTCTATAATAAAAACACAATTAACATGGATACGTTAATCAACGGTTCATCAACTGTTAAAGCTCAATTGTCTCGTTTTGCCGTTTTCGTAGTGACTGGTTTATATTTTAGATGTACAAAAACAGGTGTTGGCATTCTACTCGGGTAAACTCTAACCGTTTCATAACACTAACTAAGTACGTGTGCCGTTAAGTCCGGAAATTAATTAGGTGAAAGTCGCCATCCGAAACTTTCCGTAACAATAAGTTTTACGCTCTAAAACGAGCACACGCCCTAGTATTTTACACTATCGGCTGTTTGAACACTTATGGAACAAGCTCTTCACACACATACGGCACGGTTGGCGTGCTCGGATCACATTAATTTCAATACAACGTGCGGCCTTCAGCGGCTCTCTGGCGTGTGAAAAAAGATCACCGTAAAACCCAGTAGTGCCGGCACAAAGGGAGTCCACCCCCAAACAAAATTAATACTCTTCTCTTTTTCACAGTGTTTAACGTTTTATTGATGACCGCACACCGCGTCGGTCACGGGGTCGGTCAATTACTCACAACTCAAATAAAAGTCCCTTTTTTTTTTTCGGTCCTTTCGACCTAAAGTGATAGAACCCCGATTTTCGCCAACCCCCTCTCCTCCTCCCTCTTTAGAAAACACTCTGTTGATAAATCGAAGTTTAATAACCAACGGCGGTTTCACCCCAAATACGGTTTCGGTATATAATATGTATAAAAATATGAGCAACGCACGGTGGTTCCAATCACAATTACTTCATTTTTTTTTTTTGACAAAATTTAATGAAATTTATAGATTAAAAAAAATTAGTCATTAATTCACTAACAGATTTACAATTACTTTTACTATCGTGGCTATTATTAATTATTGAAACGTGTAAGTGTTTTAATAGTTTTTGTGTACCTTTTTTTTTTGGGATTTTTAGAGTTTTTTAATAATAAACAAAAAATATTTTGTTGACATTTGTACCCATACAACAAGATAAAATAAAACGTATTTAAAATAAACCTATTCGTTTCTTGTTAAATACAATGCGTGTTTTTATAAGATTAAACGAAAAAAAAAATGTTTAAATTGCACTTTAATTGCTTTTGCTCGCCTAAATTGTTTATTGGGACCATTGTGCGGCGGGAACGTCGAGTCGGGATGGGGTCGGTTGGTTTGGAAATAGTGCTTTAATAGCTGGCGGAACCGATTGGGCAGATAAATAACGACAATTATATATTGTGTACAAGAACTTCGAGTATAATAATTACAATTTATATACTTATACATATATATATATATATATATATTATATAGCCCGGCAAAACGGCGGCAAGGCGTTTGTTATAACCGTAACGGATGCTGTCGAACCGAAAGGCTTGTGTATATTTTGAATGGGCCGGAACGCCGGGTTAACTTTGGGGTGTATATAATAACACTTTAAGATGGTCGTTAATATTTATTGGCGCGGAATGCGATCGATTTCCAGTTTTGCCATCACGGCATCGTTATGTTTAAATAAC